ATGCAGCCTCAGCCTCAGCCTGGCCTCAGCCCTCATAGCCTGCTCAGAGCGGTCTGTCCTCAGCCTGCTTCAGCCTCGGCCCCTCATCCAATCAGCCGCCTCAAGCCTCATCAGACCTCAGCCTCAGCCTGCCTCAGCCTCAGCCTGCATCAGCCTGAGCCTCAGCCTCAGCCTGCCTCAGCATTCAAAATGTGGCCCGGGAATGGAGTTCTGGGAACTCGAAGAACACGAAGTGGCCTGCAATTGGCTCCGGGCATTCAAAATCATGCCCAGGAATGGAGTTCTGGAAACTCGAAGACCACGAAGTGGCCTACAGTTTGCTCCGGGCATTCAAATTCATGCCCAGGAATGGACTTCTGGGAACTCGAAGAGCACGAAGTGGCCTACAGTTGGCTCCAGGCATTCAAAATCATGCCCAGGAATGGAGTTCTGGAAACTCGAAGACCACGAAGTGGCCTACAGTTGGCTCCGGGCATTCAAAATGTGGCCCGGGAATGGAGTTCTGGGGACTCGAAGACCACGAAGTGGCCTACAGTTGGCTCCGGGCATTCAAAATGTGGCCCGGGAATGGAGTTCTGGGAAGTCGAAGAGCACGAAGTGGCCTACAGTTGGCTCCGGGCATTCAGAATGTGGCCCGGGAATGGAGTTCTGGGAGGTCGAAGAGCACGAAGTGTGTGACTGTTTGCGAAAAAACGCATTCGGACACGAGTTCGGACACAGCTCCCCGGGTCCCGCCCCGACCCCCCTGTGGAGTCATCTGCTGTTCTCTTTTGACACCACTAGAAACCTATCAGCAAAAGCTGTTAGGTAAACATGATGGACCCACGAACCCGGAAAGGGATATAGACATGTGAAGCATGGTCACGTTTTCACGATATCCAACTGGGCGACACCTCACGAAACATCCCACGAGACACCCCGCGAAACATCCCAGGAGACACCTCACGAAACAACCCACGAGACACCTCACGAAACATTCCACGAGACACCCCGTGAAACATTCCACGAGACACCCCACGAACAGGCAACCACTCAACCAGACACCCCACGAAACATTCCACGGGGGTGCGACTGGGTGTGGTCGTGCTGGGGTGTGGTCGTGCTGGAGTATGGTCGTGTTGGGGTGTGGTCGTGCTGGGGTGTGGTCGTGCTGGGGGGTGGTCGTGCTGGGGGGTGGTCGTGCTAGGGGGGTGGTCGTGCTGGGGGGTGGTCGTGCTGGGGCGTGGTCGTGCTGGGGCGTGGTCGTGCTGGGGCGTGGTCGTGCTGGGGTGTGGTCGTGCTGTGGTGAGGTCGTGCTGGGGTGTGGTCGTGCTGTGGTGAGGTCGTGCTGGGGTGGGGTCGTGCTGGGGTGTGGTCGTGCTGGGGTGTGGTCGTGCTGGGGGGTGGTCGTGCTGTGGTGGGGTCGTGCTGGGGTGGGGTCGTGCTGGGGTGTGGTCGTGCTGGGGTGTGGTCGTGCTGGGGTGTGGTCGTGCTAGGGTGGGGTCGTGCTGGGGTGGGGTCGTGCTGGGGGTGGTCGTGCTGGGGGGTGGTCGTGCTGGGGTGTGGTCGTGCTGGGGCGTGGTCGTGCTGGGGGGGGTCGTGCTGGGGTGGGGTCGTGCTGGGGTGGGTTCGTGCTGGGGTGCTCCGCACCCTGTGATTTATCGATCGGGTCGTGCTGGGGTGTGGTCGTGCTGGGGTGTGGTCGTGCTGGGGTGTGGTCGTGCTGGGGTGTGGTCGTGCTGGGGTGTGGTCGTGCTGGGGCGTGGTCGTGCTGGGGCGTGGTCGTGCTGGGGTGTGGTCGTGCTGGGATGTGGTTGTGCTGAGGTGGCCCGCACCCTGTGATTTATCGATCGGGATTTCAACAACAAGCGTTTCGCCTGAGACATCCTCAAATTTTAATCCGCCGGCCTCCTTCGACCTCGATATTTATCAGGGAAAGAATCCGCCGGCCTCCTTCAAGTTGGGCACGGGGGGATATGTTTACATAGGAAAAGAGAACCCTGGGCCTATGCCCTTTCCGGGAAAAACAGTACGCGGGGGGGGGTCGGCTACTCCCAGCACGTCATCAGGGGAAGAGGGAGAGTAGTATTCATATTGAGTCATTGTAGAGGAGGAGCGCGGGGCACCGTCTCTTCAAAACGAGGACCCAACAACACAGGTTGGTTGGGAACAAACGCTGCTGCTGGGCATTGTGCCCATTCTTTCCGTACCCATCTCGCTCGCGCCGAAAGCCGAGACAGATCTCGGAGATCCAAGGGCTCTATGAGGAGGACGCGTCGAGCGCCGCGGCCCTCCCAGAGAGCTTGCCGGAACGCTCTGGCACGCACTGCTGTCCTCGCCCTGGCCCCGTCCGATGGGGGGCGCCGGCGGGGAGCATGCCGGGCGGGTGCCGCCGGGTGGCGGCGGGGGCGGCAGCTGCTGGCCGGACCGGGTACCACAGGGGACGCGGGGCCCCCTGGGGTCCGGGCGTCGCGGCTTTTTTGCACCACGGGCGGCTGCGCCTGGCTCCGGGCTCCAAGACCAGCAGAGATCGATCCGCTTCGAAGAACGCTTCAGAAGCATTGGGGCTGGAGCGAGTCGTGATTTCCCGCGATGTCGCAGAGATGATAAAACGCACCCCTGAACCCAGAATCGAAGAGAAGTGCCGCATAGAGGAAACACGCGCCAGGGCCAACGCAGGAGGAAATTCCCGCCTGCTTCGTCGCAGCGCTCGGCCGGGAGAATCAGCCTGCTGCGTAACAACTCGTGAGAATGCGCCTGGACGCGCAGCATATTCCGCTTCGTCAGTTTCATGACGAGCACACGGCCACGGCCACGAGCACGCGGCCACGAGACGCCAGGAGGCCGAAACGCACGGAAGCTGAGAGGCCCGCAACGGCCTGCTTTGTGATTGTCCTGCCCTCCCAATCGCTGCGCGACTTAGACCCTCAGATCCGACGTTGCGACACACGCAACATCGCAGAACATCACGACCGGAGCCCTATACCCGACTGCCCGCGACGCCCACAGACCGCCCCAAGACGGCCCCAGTGACCCCTAAGAGAGCACCAAGACGGCTCAAGAGGCCCCACAAAAGGGCCCAATTAGCCTCTTGAAGGAGAATCATCTGCGTAAGCACACTGTCGGGAACTTCTGCCTTCCCCAGGGGCTCAGAACAAATCTTTCTCGCAACGCTGGTCCTTCCATAGGGCCTTTTCCCATCGGAGCTTGTTCGGTGTCTCAAAATGGTACTCCTGTTGCAGCGCGAGCCTCAATTTAGGATCGGCGATCTGCTCCCGTCGTTCAGAATGGCGGCGCGGGCAACTTCTCGGGATCCGAACCCTTCCTCATCGCTGTCTCCCCGCTCATTTCCCTCTTCCGCTTTCTCCTGGTACTCTTGCCCTTCCCACTCCTGCCACTCCTTCTCCTGCTGATGCTCGTCCTCCTGCTCGTCCGCCACCTGCTCCACTGTACACAGCTCCCCACTTCCGATTGCGCATGACACGATGGTGGTTTCCAGGTCCACTATGACGCCCGTCGGCGGACAGAGACAGACACGGGCCAATGGGAAGGGATGGGTGGGAGTGGTAGGATGCCAAATGTGTCGCGAGCGCACCCAGCGTGTCCTCCCTCTCGTCCCTCCCCACCTCCTCCCTCGTCCTCGCCCTCGTCGTCGTTGTCGTCGCCGTCGTCCTCATCCTCCTCCTCTCAAAGACGAACGCTGCCTCGCGCCGTTCCGAGGTTCAGGCGTTGAGGTCCGAGCGGCGAAACAGTGCGAAGCCATGCAGGAAATCCTCCACCTCCTCCTCTTCCTCCTCCTCCTCCTCTGCGAGCCACAAGGCACAAGGCACGTGGTGCTAACCAGCTAGAGGCCTTTCACAGAGCAAGCCTGCGACTCGTGCAGGGATCTGGCGAGCCTACGCTGCGACGCTAGAGGCCTCCCAGATGGGGTCCGAGTAGATGGGGTCGAAGGATCGCGCCGCATCCCCGATGCATCGGCGATACATGGGCGACGTCGGAGATGCAGCGGCGACGTCCGCGTGAATAAGGTCGGGCTCCACACCGAGCCGCATCGCCAATGCATCAGCGATGCGGCGCGATCCTCCGATTCCATCTACTCGTGGCGAGCTGACGCGGGCACAAACGCTCGTCGGGGGGCTGGTCCGCTGCGGGCCCCCACCGAAACGACGTTGAACTTCAAAAGGTGCCGCAGACTTCCGGCGGGTCTCCCGGGTCACTGCGGTGCGACCAGTCACAAGGATGTGCGGTAGGGGTGCAAGGCCCTGGGACGCCCGAATCGGAGCCGAAGTTTGGAAGCCCATGGTTCATGGCTGTGGCCAATGACTTGCAAAAACACAAAAACACCCTCGGAAAGTTACTAATCATTGTGCTCCTGTTTGGCTGTCAGGGGACGAGGGATTGCCGCAGGGCACCTCCTGGCAAACCTTCTTCTTGCGCCGTGTGCCAACTACAGGATCAGACCTGGGCGTCTTTACAGTCGCAGTTCCTACGGTATGCCCAGCACCTGGGCGACAAGTTATGTCTTGGCAGAGAACTAGCAACCATCGGTGATCCATAGTGACTGGCGCTCGCTGCCCTTCCGTGCCGACGGCTGGCCGTCGCACGGGCTTGCAAGTCCATCTTCATGCTGCACAACTTCCGAACGTTCGAGCAGATGCTCTGGATCGATGCTTGACCTCCCTCCTTGGCGCGCTCCGCGCGCCAATGGCGGCGCCAGAGGCGCCGCCTGGGAGGTCCAGGGCAGACTCAAGAGATCCGCGGGGACCACCGACGGACCGACACTTTATGACTCTGCGGATGTTCTTCCTCCCGCTGTTGGCCGTTGCCCGGAAGACCTGGACACACATCGCCTCATGGCGGCTGCCGCCCACTTCACGTACCGTTCTGGTCGCCTCTGCCGACCTCCGCGGGCGATAGCCTTCGCCGCCCCAGGAGATCGCCACGGGCTCCAGCTGCGTCCGCACCCGAGCGAATCCCCCACCCCCCTCTCCTCCTCCCCGCCCCCTGCCCAGGTCTGGGTCCTTGGACTCCTCGACCACCTTGCCGTTTCTGAACGATGCCCCATCCCATATCCGCTCGCCTCTGCTGAAGCAGGGGCAGGAAGAGGGGGGAAGGGAACCTAGAGTAGGAGGAGGAGGAGGAGGAGGAGGAGGAGCAGGAGGAGGAGGAGGAGAACGAGGACCACGCAATTGACCAATTGGTCTGCTTCGTCCACCACCAGGGCCAGCCTGCATGTCAAGGGTGCGCGCAACGAGCGCAACCTAGGTGTAGATTCTGGAGCGGGTAGAATGAGGCACAAGGTGGCCAGAGCTGAGCGGCGTGATCCTGTCACGGTCCGTGCCTGCAAGCTCTTGCACTTCGGCAAGCATGTCAAACTTAAGCGTATCCACGCCATGGGTCAGGCTGCTGTCTTTTCCCCAATGAAGTATGGAGTATATATCCATGGGGTTAGCTCGGCCGCCTTCAGGGACGCCAGGGCCATGCAGGCCCACGTTCAAAGTTTTCGGCTTGCGGGCATGATTATCGCTCTCATGCCCATGCTGTCTGACAAGTCACACTGCGACCAAGCGTATCGTTTGCAATTATTCTCTCCTGGCCTACTCCACGGCTGTTTGGGATGAGCTCTTGCTTGGACGTGTTCTGGACCACGGGATTCGGAACGCGGTGGAGCGCTTTCGGGGCACTGGCAATCCTTGGACTGCCATTCGAGGGCCTTTAACGGTCTGCGCCGCCACCGCTCGCATGCTTGGCGTCGCCTTCGCTGGTTTAGTTTGGGCCCGATCCGACGCGGGGCAAGTTGACCTAGTCTTGCAGGGCCCGTGAACTGTGCATCTATGGGTTGAGCGTGATATTGGGCGCTGGTTGTGGAGCGAAGCTGCTGAGCGAAAAGGTGCCTCTGAACTTGCCAGTGGATGCAGCTTTGCTTCGCTGCTTGCCCTCCTCAGGCGTGCCACTCTCTCGCCGCATGAGAAGGGCTACCCTCGCTCGGTCGTCGCTGGAGGCCCGTGGCCTCAGCGCAGAGGCAATGGTCCACCGAGCTCTCTGAGCATCCGATGTGCCGAGCGTGCCGGGAGGCACCAGGCACGCTGCTGCACAGGCATGAAATGTGCGGCATGCAGGAGCGGCTGTTGCCGCGTGCGCCTGCGCCTACCTTCTTGCACGCACTCGTGCGATCCGACGGCGCTCCCCGGCCTCTCCTCTTCGCTGAGAGGCCGCTGGTGCCCGATGCTGTGCCGCCTGCCTCTTGCCACGCTCCCTCCGGGTGGTTCGGGGGCGGGTCTGCGGAGATGGGCGGGCGTGTTTTTCTTTGGACGGGTCCTGGAGGGACCACGCGCTTCCTGGGCCGTTTCGGGTTCCAGCGTGGGCGTTGGTTGCGGTTGATCCTGGCAGCCACCGCGCCTTCCGTTTTATGCCGGGGCACTCCTGTTGGGCTCGGTGCCGGCATCGGCGCGGCGGAACCGGCCGCTCTGCCGCGTGACCTCCAGCGCTGCGGCTCCTGCAGCCGTTTTTCTACGCGGGCAATCCGCGTGCGCACGATGGCCTGCAGTGGCTTTGCCTGGGGGAGGAGGAGGAGGAGGAGGAGGGAGGAGGGGGAGGAGGAGGAGGAGGAGGAGGAGGAGGAGCGAACGAACCTCTGGGGGGGTGTATACTCACGGGCGCCCGCGCGGCCCCGCGCCGCCCACGAGGCAGGAAGGAAGCCTCGGGGCGCGTCGCGAGGCGGCCACGGCCGCAGCGTTCTTGTAGTACTGGTCGATGGACTTGTCCGCGACCCTAAGCTCGGCGGTCAGGGTGCTCTGGGCGCGGGGGAAGTTGTACTTTTTGAAGGCCACCGCCATGCGCGCGATGGCGTGTCTAATGTCGTTCTCGCCGTCGTGGACTTCACCATTGAGGCCCATGCGCGTAAGGATGTGCGCGGAAATCACTCCACGAGGCTGGCATAGGTGTGACCACAATCGCGGGCATGTGAGGTAGTGTGTGATGTCATCGATGTTGAGCTTGCTCTCGCTGCACAGGCATCCAAGTAGGCATTGGAGCATGTTCGGGTTGACGTGCATGCGGTAGCTGGTTGTCCAGGCCCCTGCCAGCGTCTTGAGCGTGGGCCATAACTTTGACGGAGGTTCTCGGCGGCGAGGTGGCGGCGAGACGAGCCCATTGGGCGGCAAGCGAAATCGGCAGGGAGTCCATCTCGATCAAGTCGGACGGTTGCTGGCCCTCTCCGCCCCGCGCAATATCTTCAGGCAGCCAGCGGTCCTCATCACGAGCGGGTCCATCAGCAGCCAGCCATCGACGGCGAGCACGATGCTCCGCGGCTTCTTCTTCTCGCTCGCGTTGTACAGCTGCAGAGGGTTGGGCGGCAGCGTAGATTGCGACGCGGCGGCTCCGCGCACATGCGGACTTGTGCCAGTTCGCTTCGCAGATGTCGATGGCGGTGCGATGCCTCTTTCGCGTGTCACCAGCAAGGTTGTCGAGGGCAAAGATCACGTCGAACTGGGGGCGCCTCAGGACTCCCGTGAGGTACGGCACGCACCGCTCCATCCAGTCAGTGAAGTCGTTGAAACTCATGTCCATGAAGATGCTGGGCAACCGTCGGGCAACCCATGCCTCGGCGCGCTCGTTCATGTAGGCGAGGGAGGCTTCAGCGTTAGACTTGGTGCTCGTTGTAGAAGGGTCATGATCTGTGCCAACAGGCTGGTGAATAGGGTCGAGGTTGAGGGCGAAGTCCGACCAGCGGGAACCAGGCCTTCAATCGCTTCAGGATGCTCTTGTCGAAGGAGTCGAAACAGATGTTGTTTTGCAGCTCGATGAGGTAGGCTTGCTGGGGTGACTTGGGTTTGACCGAGCGCTCTTTTCCATGGGACTTGCCACGTCCCGAGGTCTTGCCACGACCTTTACCAGCATTGCGTGTGGTTGGTACTGAATGGTTGACGATCTCAAGCGCCAGACGACCAGCAGCGGCAGCGCGACGATGAGCGGCAGAGAGAGCAGCAGACGCCCTTGTAGGAGAACCCAGCGCGCGCTTCGTCCTCTTGTAGACCGAGCCCTTGCATGTCGGGAACAGTTGGTTGGAGAAGATCATGTCGAAGCGCTGCGCTATCGAGAATTTGTCCATCCAACATTCGGCGCACCATGCACCTTCGATGACTTGGCGTACGGGAAGTCGATCTTCCGCAACTTCACGGTGGTCACGAAGAAGGGCAGGCCATGAAGTCAACGTTTTAGTAGCCGTCCTCCACATAGTGGCAGCCAGCAGCGTTTCCAGTCCTTTGGGCATTTCCGCACCCGCCCAGCGCTTGAACGAGAAGATGTCCATCTTGGTGAAGCTCGAGGGAGCAGCTCGTATGATCTTGTGCAAACCGTGAACTTCTTTGGCGAGAAAGCATGGCGAAAGTGGGTGGAGCTGGCCGATGTATGAGAGGCAGGTGACGGCGGCGACATTGTGCAATTTGATGCTTTGCTGCAGCGGGGACCTCGCCCTGGCGAGAATCTGGATGCGGTCCCACCACTTGCCTGCGGGTCCTTCCCACTGCGTGGATAGCGAAGCTCCAGGGCCAATTTGGGCGCCCAGGTACCGCGCGTAGCTCGAGATCTTGAAGTCCTTCCATGGGGCGTGGATGGCGGCGAGTGAAGTCCGCATCGTGCGTGTGATGGCAGGGGTAGGTAGAGACCAAGTTGGGACGATGATGCAATTCTTGGCTTGGAGGTGTAGGCCGGCGAAGACTTCAGCGGCTTGTAGATGAGGGAATAGCTTCTCGATGTCATGTAGCGCGGCCAAGATGATGCCAAGGTCGTCAGCACAGGCGCTGATAAGGCCGCGGCCGATGCGTTCAAGCTCGTGTTTGATACCGCGAATAAAAGGGTCGAAGACGAGGGCCCAGAGCGCGCCCCTCAGCGGGCAACCTTGGGCGACGCCCGAGGCAGCGAACAAAAGCGGGCGTCGAATGCCGCCCATGTCGGAAGGCTAGGGGCATCTCGTAGCATGCTTTCAGCAGCGTGAGGACCTGGCCATGGAAGCGCCGCCTGCCGAGAACCTCCCAGAGCCAGTCGTGTAGCAGGCTGGGGAAGGCCGCCGCGATGTCCATGCTGGCGAAGCACGGCATGAGCTGTTCGGCGTCCTCTGTGATGCTGAGTTTGCGGGCGACGGAGTCTACCAGCGCGATGTTGTTGAGAAACTGCCTGCCGTTGACGAAACCTTGCTGCTCCTTGGTCGTCTTGGCGGCGACGCGATGCAGCTTGCGGTTGATGGCTGACGCGATAAACTTCACGTCGCTGTTCTTCATGGCTAGCGGGCGAAGGCAGTCGGGTCTCCTTGTGCACTCGAAGTTGCCGAGCGGCTCGTCGCCCTTTGCGGGCATGGCCATCATCGCGCGGTTCAAGTCGTGTGGCGCAGCGCCCCCGTCGGCCATGTGATGCATGAGCTTATGCCGTGCTTCTATGCTTCCAGGCGAGTTGGCCCAGGCGCGGTAAGGGGGGCCGTCGGGGCCAGGGGCAGAGCCACCTGAGAGCCGGACAGCATCTTGAAGATCTTGAAATTCGGGGAGTGGTAGATGAAGATGCGGTTGTTAGGGGAAGACCCCGTCCAGGTACTTCTGCATGTCGGGAATGTTAGCTGTCTTCGCGGCAAAGATGCGACTCCAGTGCTGTTGGATGGCGCTGTGCATGGCCATCGGGTCGGTGATGAGATGGTATCTGGAGCCCTCCGAGATGCGAGTGCCCGCCAGGATGAGTCTCTTGTCGAACGGCTTCCAGAGTTCGCCCCGTTGTGCGGCGCGGCGAGCTTTCTGCCTTCATTCGTCGCCCAGTAGAGTACTGTGTTCCAGATAGGCAGCGCGGGATCTGGCGGCGGCCACATGCTTGCGGTGATCAGCTATGGCGAGGTGAGTCGCGCCGACCTCGTTCGCGAAGGACTCGGGGTCGATGACGGAGACCAGGTCGGAGGTGATCTGCAGGTGCTTAGAGCCAATTGTGGTGTCATGCAGCAAGAGGTTGGCCGTTTTCCTGTCGTGGTACCAGACCGCGCGCGGGGTGCTTCTCAGCGTAATGGCGCGCGCTTCGCAGAGGATGGATGGGGTCGTCGTCTTTGCGCTCGGAAGGCTGAATCGCGAGGAGGGCGTCGCGAGCCTTCTGCGCCGCCAATGCCATGATATGCTTCATAGCGCGCCAGTGCGATAGTGGGTCGAGGTGGGTCACGCCGATCATGCTCGTGAAGCGCTCGAAATAGAACTTGTAGTGCTTGGGCTCGAAGATGAAAGTAGGGATGCCGCGTTCAGCAGGAGGTCGCTGAGCACGTGGCCGTAGACGGAAGTGGAGAATTCTGTGGTCGCTTGCGGGCTCGCCAACACGCCCCAAGGGTCGGCTGTCCACGGTCAGGTGGGTCTCTAAGTGGGGCGCGTTGAATGCGGCAGTGGTTATGTTATGAAGCAGCGATCGATTGTTGCCTCTGTCGTGTTTGCCGAGCTGCGATGCGTCGTAGATCTTGTTGTGACCTCAATCATCTTCGAGCAGATCTGCTTCCAGAAGGTGGGCTGGTACTGATATCTGTCAGCGGTTGTGGCGTCGATAGGGCGCAGCAAGCTCTTGGGCGGAAGCTCCGAGATGTTGAAGCCGCCGGTCAAGATGAGGTTGTGTGTGTTCGGGTTAGCCGCTGTCCGACATTGTGCGGCGTCCCAGACCGACTTGAATAACTGCCGATCGTGTTGCGAGAGTTCGTAATTGTGGGCGTTGAAGATGGTCGTCTCGTGCGCGCCGTTGGCGTCCTTCACGCGAAGCTCGGCAATAAGGCCGCTCGCAATGGGGTGAGAGTCTCGGGCGGGCGCTGGTCGGCAGGTATCCCGAGCTCGCGCTTGTCGCGCGGGGCGGGGGAGGCGGCGCCGCCCGCGGTCTCGGAGGGCACGCCGTTGTTCACATGGGCGGAGTGGAAGGGCGGATGCGGGTGCATGGAGGCATCGGCGAAATTCTGGATGCCCGCGTAGTGGCCGTGAGTCTCCTGGAGTGCGATGACTGCGCGCTGGCGCATGTACGGCAATAACATGCTACGCTGGATGGTTCTCCGTGACGAAGGTCTCCCCATAGGTGCCTGCGTATTCCACGAGACGACGTTGAGGCCGCCCCTCTGTGGCTTGATGAACCATGGGGGCCATCGCGTGCCAAAGCCACTGCGCTGCCGCCATCGGGTCCGCGAAGGCGGCGGCCAGCTCGTTCGCGTAGATGTCGTGCTCATTGGCGGGAATGCCAGCGGGCGCGGCGGCGTCGGGCCAGCGGATGCGAGTCGCTGCTTCGGGCGTGACACCTGCAGTGGCTTGGCAGATGGGCGAGCCACCAACATTGAGTATGCCCCGCGCGCGGTGGATGCGGATGTCGGTGTCGGGGTGCTTGGCCAGGATGAGCTTGCTGAGGCGTTCGAGCTGAACCTCTTGCCTGACCATGCGCGGGGACTTGTCAGCGGACACGCGCAAGGGGACGGAGCCCGTGATGCCGGCGATCTCGCAGCGGTGCCGTGCCATTCTTTCCCCTCGCGGAAAGCTTTATGCAGGGCTGCGGCAGCTGGTATTGCGGTGAGGGATCCTCCAGTGAGAGGGTGAACGACATGCGCCTGTCAGGGCCAGTCGAGTTGAGGCGGATCGCGTTGATGTCCACCTCGGCGGCGTTGAACCAGTTCTGCAGTGCGGCTTTGAGCGAGGTAGCGTTGAACTCGGATGGGGCGCCGCGCCAGAACGTAGCTGCATTTAGCGGTCGGTCCCACTTGCCCAGCGCGTCGATGTTGATGGCAGGATGAAGAGCATCTGCGTGGCGGATGTGCTGCTTGATGTCGAAGAGGCCTTATTGAAGTTCTGCGTTGAGACGTTCGACTCTATCGGCAAGGCTTTTGAGGCCAGCAACATCTGCTTCGGCGGCTTCGGTGCGGGCACACAATTGCTGAGCAGTCTTCGTGATGGTGGCAAGGAACTCGGCCTGGGCGTTGTCCGTGACTTGTTTGGCGGTGGCATTGAATGCGGCGGCAGCTTTGTCGACTTGTTGCTGAAAAAGAGCTTGTAGTTAGTTCTTTCCGTTGATGAGCAGGTATGGAGTTGGCACTGAGCTTGCTTGCACCATCCGCCCATGGATCGCCACTGGGACGCCCTTTGCTGTCAGTCTTGCCGCCAATGCCTGCGCCGCAAGAACCCCCTTTGCCACGCTTGTCCTCGGCAAGGGCGCCTTCGGCGGCAATGGCCATGGTGACGTCAGCCATGGTGGACGCGGGCTTGGCGCGCATGCGGGACTCGTCGTCCAGCAACTCGATGGAGGTGATGGTGCGAGGAATTGACGCTCCGCACAGTATATTGATGCGCAAGCACACAGCAGCGCGAGGAGCGCATATGGAGATGGGCACCTGCAAGCCCGTGGTTGTGGCAGGACCGAAAAGAGGACGAGATCTGGCCGCGGCACAGCGGTGCCCAGTTGGACACCGCGGGGCGAGAACATCTTGAGCCAAAACGGCTACGGAGGAGGAGGAGGAGGAGGCGAAGGAGGAGGAGGAGGAGGAGGAGGAGGAGGGGGAGGAGAAGGGGGGAGGAGGAGGAGGGGAGAGAGGAGAAGGGGAAGGAGGAGGGGTAGGAGGAGGAGGAGAGGAGGAGGAGGAGGAGGAGGAGGAGGAGGAGGAGGAGGAGGGAGGAGGAGGAGAGGAGGAGGAGGAGGAGTGGGAGGAGGAGAAGGATGATAGGAGAGAGAAGGAGGAGGAGGAAGAGGAGGAGGAGGAGGAGGAGTAGTTGGAGAAGGAGGAGGAGGAGTAGGAGGAGAAGGAGGAGGACGAGGAGGACGAGGAGGAGGAGGAGGAGGAGAAGGAGGAACCGGCCGTGGGCGCGCATCGAGGACCGGGGCGGTCTCGAGCATGTGCGTGCTGTCCAAGTGCGTGTGCACAGATAGCGTTCGCAGGTGCAGAACCGTCTCGGCTCTGAGCTTCTTTTGCGGGGAATAACCTTGCCGACGTTGGGGCGCAATGGCAGTGCGATGGATCCCGCATCCCCGCCGAGTAGAGAGATCGTCGCAAGGCCAAGGAGAACGTTCTTACGGCTTGAGCGTCTTGGGTTGTGCAGGTCGGCCTAAATCTTGCAGATCTGGGCTGTATATGCATGTGAATATTTGTACATAGAAAAGTATGTACGTACATGTATAAGTATGTATATACACATAGATATGTACATATGTATGCATGCATGTGTGCATACATGCATATATGTATCTAGGCATGTCTGTAGATATGTCTGTCTGTGTGCTTGCTTGTTTGTATGTGTGATTGTATATAGTTGTGCATGCATGTATGTATGTATGCATGTATGCATGTATGTATGCATGTATGCATGCATGCATGCATGCATGTGTGTATATATATATATATGTATGTGTGTGTATGTCTGTATGCATGCATGCATGCATGTGTGGACATGCCACTGGCAAGAAACATGCTGCAAGAGAGAAACCTAATGAAACCTCACGCCGTGCAACTTGGCCTTGTCGCCCCTCCCGCTGCCACCCTTGCTTTGCTGCATCGTGCGGGTCTCGCGCATGCCAGGCAAGCCAGCGCAGGAGGCCGTTCGCACTTGCCTGATCTGTCCAGCTTCATTGGGGGGAGGTGGTGTGCTACGTGCGTGGTGTCTGGGAGGGCTGATGTGGGGGGGGGGGGGGGAAATTCTGCCTTGGCAAATTCGCCGGTGCATGCCCTGGATCGCAACCTGCTGGATCTTCGGGCGCTCGGGTTCGTTCCAATCTCGCCCTGCTGAGAATCCAGATCAATGAAGCGTGGCACGTCCGTGTGCAGACGCTCCGCTCCGCTGCTCTCATCCGTGTCGGTGAGACTTCCAGCGCGCACTGACCGTTTGGCTTTCATGTCATGTGACTGGCATACGCGGCTGCGGAAGGAAGGCCCAATCGAGGGGCAGCGCCACCCACCTCTGTGCATCGGTGCAGGCGTTCTGTTAACGCTCAGGCTGTGTTCAGGGAGGGGGAGGGAGTCGCGTTGGAGGAACGGAGAGGAGGATCATCATGAAATAAAGGGGCGGAGGAACGGAGATATTGATTATTGGGGTGGTGATGGTGATAACGATGCTGATTATGATGATGATGAGGATGCGGATGCGCATTCTGATTATGATGATAATGATGATAATGATGATGATGATGATGATGATGATGATGATGATGATGATGATGATGATGAAAAGGATGGTGATGACGAGGAAGATGATGATGAAGAAGATGCTGATCCTTCTTATTCTGAATGTGATGTTGTTGCAGATGGTGATGGTGGTGCTGGTGCTGATGATGATGACGATGATGGGGATTCTGATGGGGATGACGATGGTGATGCTGCTGCTGACGACGACGGCGACGACGATGATGACGATGCTGATGCCGATCATGATGCGGAAGAATATGATGATGATGGTGGTGGTGGTGCTGATGATGATGCTAGTGATGCTGGTGATGATGAGGATGATGCTGATGCTGATGCTGATGATGATGATGATGATGACGAGGACGGGGATGCTGATGCCAATGATGGAACTATCACCGTTGATGGGGATGGTGATGATAGCGTTTGTGGTGATGATGATGGTGATGATGATGCTGATTGACAACGATGATGATGCTGATGATGATGCTGCTGGTGATGACGATGCTTTTGCTGCCGATGATGATGGAGCTGATGGTGCTGATGATGATGGTGCTGATGATGCTGCTGACGATGATGATTCTGATGATGATGCTGATGCTACTGATGATGATGATTATGATGATGATGATGCTACTGATGATGCTGATGGTGATGCTGCTGATGCTGATGCTGCTGCTGCTGATGATGATGATGATGATGATGCTGACGATGCTGATGATAATGATGTTGATGGTGATGATGCTGCTGCTGCTGATAACGATGAGGACGCTGATGCTGATGCTGATGCTGCTGCTGATGTTGATGATGCTGCTGTTGATGGTGATGGTGATGATGGTGATGCTGCAGCTGCTGCTGCTGATGATGATGCAGATGGTGATGGTGATGATGATGCTGCTGATGATGGTGAGAATGATGATGATGATGCTGATGATGATGATGATGATGATGATGATGATGATGATGCTGATGATGATAATGATGATGCTGATGATGATGCTGATGACCATGCTTATGCATGATGCTGGTGACGATGCTGATGTGCAGTAGGATGTCTGGGGGGTCTCTCTTCTTTGATCTGATCGTCCTGGCCTGTCCGCCTTTCCCTCCGCGAGAGGGGTGGGGGGTAGGGGGGCTGCGCTGCGGCGGGAGCCCCCTCGGCTTCTGGACGAGTCTGGCGTGCCCACCTCGTCCATGTACATCAGCTTGCTGGGGTGGTGGGCGGGGGGAGGAAGGGCCGTGGGAGGAAGGGGGGGCAGGAGGATGGAGGAAGCTTCTGGGGGGGTAGCCCTGGGAGGTTCCGAAGAAGCTTCGGCGTGGGAGGGGGGTGGGAGGACCTGGGGTGTGGGGAAGGATGATGACGATGAGGAGACGGAGGAAGAAGCGAAGAGGGGGAAGGAGGAGAAAGATGAGGAGGCGGGGAAGGGGAGCGGGCGGAGGAAGAAGAGCGCTCGGAGATGGAGCCGAGTGAGGGGGCTTCTATACACCCAGAACGCATCGATGGTACTGCAGTTCTCCCTCCCATCCGACGCCATCTCCTCCTACGCCATCGCGGGCGAGTTTTTTCATCGTGGGGAACGCTCCCTTGCGCGAGGAGCATCGCACGGGCTTTCCGCTTGTGTGAAAACCCATTTATGTTTTTTTTTGTAGCGCCGCCCCCCCATCTTCGAAGCTATCGCGCATGTCTATATGTACGGTCATAGGTATACAGGGCGTATCAACAACGAGCTTGAACTAAACACAGGCTGCCCCTCGTCAGTGCAACTGCTCCATCTTCTAGCACGGCCTGGTCCTCTTGGGAAGACCACTCAACAACAGCGCGGCGTGGGGGCGCCTGGGGTGCAGTGAGTGCGGAAACATAGGAACCTCAACAGAGAACCGACGCGTGAAGCATGACACGCCCTCCTGCCCCTACACCTTGTATGTCTTGAGCGCAAGCCCCGTTTTGAACAATGATGGTCCTCGGTCTCGCGCAACGATGCCGCATGTGAGCATGTACACTCACATGGCGCACGGCCATGTTCATGGAGAACCCCCTGCAGAACCTTACCCCCTTACTATATGTCGCTCTTAGTTCTCGCGCATCCCAAGTTGCTTGGCAAACCACCTGAGGGCATCGTACGCGAGGTCAGAAACAGGTGCAGCCATCCATCCATGTAGCGGCCGCGCATGCTCACACCCTTGGTTCCCAAATTGGACGACGCCCTCAACAAACACCGAATAGGGACTTGGGAGTAGGAGTGAGAGGAGGAGAGGAAGAGGCTAGAGGAGGAGGAGGAGGCGGAGGAGGAGGAGGACGAGGAGGAGGAAGCGGCGACACGATACCCTACACGCCCACCCTGTGACTGCGTTGGCGCTGGCAGTCTCGATCATCTCCCCATGTGCGCTGCCTTGGGACTTTCTCGCTGCTCCGCCTGACGGTGGAGGATCGTGGCACCACAATGCCGCGCGGTGCGAGTAATAGAAATAGCCGTCGTAATAGGACACGGAGGAGGGGCATTAATAGCAGCAATAGGTGGGGAAGGTGCAGGATGAGAGAGCAGGGGGGAAGAAGGTGAGGATACTGAGGCACACGATGACGAGGAAGAGTAGGCGAGGGAGGAGGAGGAGGAGGAGGAGGAGGAGGAGGAGGAGGAGGAGGGGAATGAGGGATCATAGAGAAAGGACGGGGGGGGAAGAGGATGAGGACGACGTTGGAGGGGGAGGAGGAGGCGGAGAGAGGAGACCGTGGATAAGGGAGGGATGCCACGAGGAGGATGGGCATGATGAGCACGAGGAGGAGGAATACGCATAACGATGAGAATACAACAAACGAGGAGGATGAGGATGATGATGATGATGCGGAGGAGGAGGAGGAGGAGGAGGAGGAGGAGGAGGAGGAAGAGGTGGTGCAGGAGGATGAGGTGAAGTAGGCAGGGACACGCTTTTGCTTGCCCTCGAGGGTGTTCTCAGAGGAGGAGGAGGAGGAGGAGGAGGACGAAGGAGGAGGAGGAGGAGGAAGAGGAGGAGGAGAAGCAGCACCCCACATACTGAGTCAACACGGGCCACATATTCCCCAAAGGTCCAATGGTACCCCACCCCCCCCCAAGGCACCCGACGAGGTCCTACGCAGCTCCCACGAGGCCCCAGATGGGAGCTGCCTTGTGTGCCCCTGGGATGCCACACACGCACACTGAAGCACTTTATGTTCGTAATGTCAACCGTCAGGACGGCTTGAGAGCCCCCAGAGATGGTCGCAGACAGCCCCACGAAATGGCTGGAACTGGCCCTAAGAAAGCTCAAAGGACGGCCCGGGAGCTCCCCCCAGACGACCCAGAACAATCCGACGGTGGCTCCAAGACGGCTCCAAGCTGCTCGGTAGAACCGTTGCGCCCAAGGCGGCACAAGACGTTCATGAGGGAGAAGGGCGCGGGGGCGTATGACCGTAGAACTATGATTCTACCGCCTGGAATCCCGCGGAGACCCCGTATCATCGTGCTTCTACTGAGGTTGTCCTACAAAGCCTGGTCTAATCATGCTGGCACGGCGTCGGGATTTGCCGCAAGCAGCTGGCAACTTTTCGTATCAGTGGCTCGACAGTGCAATCCCATGGCAATCAGAAGCAGGCGCTGCAGGCAGGCAGGCGGATGGCTTCTCACGCCTGGAGTGAAAGACAGCGCGCGACGTGCCAGGATGCAGGGGAGGTGAGGGGGGAGAGATGGAGAGAGGGGAGGGGGGGCGGTACCGCCGTGCCGAAGCAGAGCGGGCGACAGCACCGAACAAATGGAACTCCCTCGGCCAGGTGGGCCAGGGGCGTAGTAGCTTCAGCAGTCGGGTAGTCGGGGTAATGTGGCCGCATGTGGTTTCCCTCTCAAAATCCTCGAATTCTCCCCGGGACAACTTGCTGGCCATGGAAAAGGGGAACTCGGGTATACTTCCCGGGGGGCTATTCGGACGCGCCCCCATCGACGATGGTCGCCCCCCATCGTATATCCTCGAATTGGGCTCCAAATCCCACCAGTCCTGTGGGATGAGGTGGTCTAATGCGCTTCCTCTTCAAACCCCTTTCTTCCCGTTCATGGACGGCTGTATCACCGCTCCTCATGAATGATGACCTCCTCCCCCACTCGACCAGGCGGCCGACCAGGAACCATGCCGACCCCACCACCATCCCCGTCAAAAGCCATACGACATAGACTTTGCGGCAAAATCTTGGACCATGCGCGGGGCCCCCGCGATCATATTAAATTGTTGTAGACAGGGACGGCGGGGGAGGACCACATATCGCCTGGTGTGTGAAGGCCCCCCATCGCTTTCAAAAAACATTGCAACGTGCACTTAGCGGCAACATCTTGGACCATGCGCGGGGGCCCCGCGATCGATTAGCAACCTGTTTGGCATCTGCTTAGCAGCGTTTCTTGACAGGGACGGCGAGGGTTTCCGGAAATGGTTTGGCATCTACGCGGGCCCATCATCCCTGTCAGGAACCTATGCGCTGTGACTGCGGACGACACACCGCGCGGCGTGCTGACCACCCCGCCGCTACCTCGCAAGTAGGGGGGGGACGACAAGCCTCCCGATGTGTGCCGTCACTTGTTTTGGCGCACCCAGCACACCCTGCGCGCGCCGCGCACCCGGCGCACCTCGCGCGGATAGAGCTTCGCCATACTTGGCGGATGTGGAGAACGTGGCCAATCTGGCGCATCAGGCGCGCTTAGGCCCCTGGGGCACCTAGCGCATCCGGTGCGCGCGGCGCACATGGCACTCGCGGGGCACCTCGCGAGTGTCGCGCGCCTGGCGCCTGTCTTGATTCCCAGTGCCTGTCTATCCAGTGACGGTCCCTGGCTGTGCTGAGACTCGCGGTGGGAGGGCGGGTGGAAGTGAGCGAGACGGCTTGCGGTCGTCCTTCGGGGTAGCGTGACCCATCCCTCTGCTCCCCCTGGGTCTGGACGGAGGCGGGTTCGAGCGGACAGAGCGTCCAAGATGGCCCGAGATGTCTCCAAGATTGGCCAAGGAACTCCAACATGGCCTCCAAGATTGCTCAAGATGGCTCAGGATGGCTCAATGACGCCTCCAACATGCTTCCAAGAGGCCCGAGTGCGGCTCTAAGTGGCCACGGAGCCTCCCACGGATGCCTCCGAGAGGCCAACATCCTTCCAACCAGCTAAGGGCAATCGGTGACTTTGCCTTCTCGCCCTTTCGCATGCGATTAATTTTTAAGGCCTCAAGATGGCCCCAAGATGGCGCAAGAGCGGCCCAAGAGGGGCCCAGGAAGACCCCAATACGGCCCCAAGAAGGATCCGAATTGCAATTTTTCAAGCTCTAGAGGCGCGGCCCCAATTAAGACCCCTATTATTTTGCCGATGTCCTCCAAGATGGCCCCCAATGCACCCAATAGGGCCCCAAGAGGGCCTCACCCCCCCCTCCAAACTTGCTCCAAGAAGGCTCCACTATGGCTTCAAGAGGCTCCCGCATCGAAAGATTCGAACATGCATTTATGGCTGAGTCGTTGTCACCGTCGACTCCTCTCCTCGTTCTTCCGCCTGAGGTTTATCAGAGGCTGAGCGGTAACGTCTTCTCTTAAACTCATTCCTTCTGCTCGCCTGCCTCCTCCTTCTCATTTCTCCTACTCCTACTCTTGCTCCTCCTCGTCCTCCTCCTCCTCCTCCTCCTCCTCCTCCTCCTGCTTCTCCTCTTTGTCATCCCGCCTCCTCATCCCTCCTCCTTCGCCTCCTCATCATTCGACAGGGCCGCGAGGCCCTACGTGGTGCTGGTCCAAAACCTCGGCCCGACAGCTGCCCCTTGATCTGCTGGCTGCTCCTGCGCTTCCCTCATCATCGCCACCCGCCTGGGCGTCGCTTCTGGATGGGCCGGTGCGGACACTTTTTAGTCAGCGGCCGCGGGCGAGCGCGCCGGCGGCGAGTCAGGTCCAAGCGGGCTGCGCAGAGACTGTAATCAGGCAGAGGAAGCGCGAGATAATTCGGCAAAGGCGGCGCGCAGGGCAACATGCCCCGGTGCGGACGCACGAGGCGTCCAGACTTTTCCTGCCCAGAGTCGAACAAAAACCCACAACGTCGGGGGTCGGGGCCGCCAGGCCCCAAGGGGGCCCGCGTGCTCGGAGGGCGGCGGGGCTCCCCCGCGAGGGCTCCGAGAGCTCCTCGGGAGGCCGGAGGCCTTTCCGAGCCTTCCGAGGAGGCCCGCTCCGATTTCCGCTGGCTCGATCCGACTCGGCTCCGAACTTCCGACGCTCCCACGTCTCCCAATGCCTAGCTCTTCGGCACCGCCTGCACCCCGGGCCCCGCCCACTCCGGCCGCCTGAGGCCCCGCCCGCCTGCGCCCTGTCTCCCTAATTGAAGCTGTGCGTAGCCCGCCTAGCTTTTAGCGGAAGAGGTTCGCTCTCGCCCCGCCGACCAAAATGTCTCCCAATGCCTGCGTGGCGCCGTTAGGCATCCTGGTGCGGCCGATCCGATCCGTGTCCGAGTCCGTGCCGATGCCCGCCCTGCCGGGTCTGAGCCAGACCGGACAGCGAACTCGTGTCGGATCGGGAGCGGGTCGGGTCGCCAGCGGATCGCTCCGGCTCGGATCGGAATCGGATCGCCACGCCCTGCTTCGACTGGCTCTGGCTGCTGACCAAGGGCGTCTAACTTCGCGCTTCGCGCTGCGCGACCAACTTCGCGCTCTCGCGCCACCCTCCAGGGAAGAAGAGGAGGATGCGGAGGCATCAGAGCCGAAGCGCGAATCACTTCGCGCCCTCGGAGGCGCCGTTGGATGACCGTGAATGGAACCCAGACGTGCGACGTCCTGATTTTTTCAATACGGGGTCCCTGGAAATCCCTACCCTTTCCCAGGGACCGCTTTTTCATCCCGAGTCATTTTTTGACGGTCCCGAGGCCCAGCGAAGGCTCCTCGAGGCCGAAAACTGGCACACACACACACACATCCCGTCCTGATTTTTTTTTACGACGCGATCATGTCTGGGAACGGAACCGGATCGAGCCGGAATCGCGGCCCCAGCCAGCGAATCGAATCGCACCGAATTGGGCCGCAGGCGGCCCTGCCCTTCCCCCCCCCCCTGGGCGCGCCGCCAGGGATGGCAGGGTCTGCCTCCGCGGGAGCGGGATGACAGAGGGGGGCGGCGGGAGCGGGATGTGATGGGAGGAGGAGGGGGAGGAGGGAGGAGGAGGAGGAGGAGGAGGAGGAGGACGGAGGAGAGAAGAGGAGGAGAAGAGGAGGAGGAAGAGCAGGAGGAGGAGGAGGAGGAGGAGGAGGAGGAGGAGGAGGAGGGGGAGGAGGAGGAGGAGAGGAGGAGGAGGAGGAGGAGGAGAAGGAGGAGGAGTAGGAGGAGGGGGGTCCACAGGTGCCAGCCCTGAGATCCGGGCGTGGCAATTGTTGTTCCCAGCGGGCGTTCTCGCACGGTCTGGGGCTCATGCCCACCGTAGAACGATCCGTCTCGGAAAATGATGCAGAAAGATGGGGTCTAGGGCTCCCGTTGCCATTGCATCGCAGCGTCAGATCTCAGGGAGGCCCTCTGGGATATAACATGTCCCGCGGTGGTCAGATGGCTTCAAGGCGGCCCAGCATTGTCTCCAAGACAACTCACCGAACCCTAGAGACAGCTCAGCGTTCGACGAAGAGGTACTCCTCGGAGGCTCAGGAGAGGCCCACATCAAGTGGAAAACAACTTGTGCAATGATCTGGACTTTATCGCCCAAGTTGGGCCCGGAATTGGTAAACTCCACCCCGAGGCTTCGACGATGCTCCAACAGGCCTTCGAGACACGAGGCCCTCAAGAGGCCCCAAGAGCCTCTGATGCCCCCCCCCCGTTCAGAAGGCACCCAGAAGACCTCCCAGAGTCGCACGTGTAGGGTTCTCAACGACTCTTGCCCTCTCCTACTCCTATGTTGCCATTCGCGCCATAAAACAACATGATGGACCCACGAACCCGGAAAGGGATAAAGACATGTGCAGCATGGTCACGTTTTCACGATACCCAACTGGGCGACATCTCACGAAACATCCCACGAGACACCCCGCGAAACATCCCACGAGACACCTCACGAAACATTCCACGAGACACCTCACGAAACATTCCACGAGACACCCCGTGAAACATTCCACGAGACACCCCACGAACAGGCAACCACTCAACCAGACACGCCACGAAACATTCCACGGGGGTGCGACTGGGTGTGGTCGTGCTGGGGTGTGGTCGTGCTGGGGTGTGGTCGTGCTGGGGAGTGGTCGTGCTGGGGTGTGGTCGTGCTGGGTCGTGCTGGGGGGTGGTCGTGCTGGGGGGGTGGTCGTGCTGGGGGGTGGTCGTGCTGGGGCGTGGTCGTGCTGGGGCGTGGTCGTGCTGGGGCGTGGTCGTGCTGGGGTGTGGTCGTGCTGTGGTGAGGTCGTGCTGGGGTGTGGTCGTGCTGGGGTGTGGTCTGCTGGGGCGTGGGAGGTCGTGCTGGGGTGTGGTCGTGCTGGGGTGTGGCTCGTGCTGGGGTCGGGTCGTGCTGGGGTGTGGTCGTGCTGGGGGGGTGGGGTCGTGCTGGGGTGGGGTCGTGCTGGGGTCTGGTCGTGCTGGGGTGTGGTCGTGCTGGGGTATGGTCGTGCTAGGGTGGGGTCGTGCATTTCGCTCGAGACATCCTGCCAAAATTCCAGGAAATCGTACAAAAACAAACGAATTAGTCGAGACATCATCGAAATTCCTTCGCGCGGGGCGCTTTTCCGCGTCGCGGTCGGCTCTGCAAAACCAGCGTTTCGCTCACATCCTCAGCAAATTCTGAAAACAAGCGTTTCGCTCGAGACATCCCCAACTCTGCAAAACCAGCGTTTCGCTCGAGACATCCTCAACAAATTCTGAAAAACAAGCGTTTCGCTCGAGACATCCTCAAATTTTAATCCGCCGGCCTCCTTCGACCTCGATATTTATCAGGGAAAAAATCCGCCGGCCTCCTTCAAGTTGGCACCGGGGGACAGGTTTACCTACTAAAAGAGAACCCTGGGCCGGCGCCCTTTCCGGGAAAAACTCCAGAATGATCCCCGCCAGCCCCTGCGACACTTGGGTGGGAGATGCTCTGCGGAGGGATTGCCCTAAATGCACCCAGCGACTGTTTTTCTCCCCACACGTGAGCTTCAAACGACAATTGAGGAAAACACCAACCCACGACTTCCCCAAACCTCACGATCTCCCAAGAACAATGCAAGCAAAATATGCCGGCAGAGTGCGCGAAGCGGTTGAACTCAAGCGTGAGACCAGCGACCTGGTGTCCGCCGTGACGTGCGTCATGGTGAAATCTACTGAGAAGATGGGGAAGAACCAGCACACGTGCAAGCCGAGACACAATATGCATCGAGTAAACCTCCACCAGTGAGCGAATCGCAACTACGTAAGGCCTTCGATCTCAGCAGGCACGGACAGGGTGAAACGCGAATGGGTCACGCTGGCAGAGAAGACGCTGCCAGCCTGAGACGCCCAACGTTGTGGCAGATGAGCGCCCAACAATGTGATATCCTGAATCGCTGGTCTGTGAAATAGATATCTTCGATATCTCCGAGCCGTCTTTGCGGGGGGATGATGGTGGGAGTAATAAGATTATGAAAACGATGAGGATCAGGAGCAATGATGATGGTAGTGAGGAAAGGCGAAGAAGATTGGCCCTCGCGAGCTCTGGTCACAGCAAAAAGCGCGCCCGAATTTTGCGAATGGCAACGATCCCTTGGAGACGGCACGACTTCGTTGCTCATGCGTCGTGCCAGGCAATTTTGGGAGGCGTAGACGGAGGAGGGGGTGGCGGAGGGGGAGGCGGAGGGGGAGGAGGCGACGTGTCACTCACCATGCTCGCGGCAGAGAGGATGGCGATCAGACGGTCGTGGGAACCACACCTGTTCAGCTTGAAGGCCAGCGCCATCGCCGTGAGATTCTCGGAGTCCTGAAGGTCAAGGTCCGCCCCTGCGATCACGAGGCCCTCGACCACGGCGGCGTAGTTCAGCCGCACGGCGATGTGGAGCGGGTAGGTGAAGCCGCCACAGACGGGGAACCTGCGCCTACGCGCGTTAACCCCAGGGAAATCGAGGGACAAAAACGCCATAAGCATAAACTCCCCCATCTCCGCGCGGATTTCTTGGATCGGCGCTGGGACCCCCTTGGCGGCGCCTCTGGCGCAGCTCCTGGCGCACTATACGCGCCAGGGAGGGGGGCCCAGCGCCGATCCAGAAAATCCGAGCGGGCCTCCGTAACTTTCTGTTCATACTGTTGGGCGCCCGAATTATCCAAGGTAGACCTGGACCGGGTAGGGCTCTCTTTGGTGTGGCCAGATGCGATCCAAGCAAATCCAGGAATCGCGTGATCCGGAATACCGCCTGTTTCATGGAATTGCTGGACAATATCTACAGATGGGGCAGACTGCAATCTGGGAAAACTCGAGTTGAGCACAATCTGGGGCAACCCCGGCTCGAAAACTGGAGGACCGAATCAGGAACTATCCTTGACTACCCCCTGCTCTCGCTTCCAAGCGGGAGCCAAACGGGAGCCAAACACAATAACAAAAACTACCCGTGGGGCGGGCGGCCCGCAACGGTCAAGCTGCTCGACAAGGATCTCGCCCTGAACTTTCTGCTCAGGCCGCTTTTGTTGCCCCTCGGGGAAGCCCTGCTGCCGCAGGAACGTGGAGGCCCGCTCCTTCTTGGCCTCCTCCTCGACTCGAAGGCGCACCGACGCCATCTCGCGCTCCTCCGCCTCAGCGCGCTCCAGCACCAGGCGCCACTGCTCCTGCTGCCGGGCCACGTGCGACTCGTGGATCTGGCGCCAGTACTCGTGCTCGAAGCCGTCGTCGACGAAAGACGGGGGCGCGTCGGCCGGAGGCGCCGCGGCGGCTGGAGGCTGGCCAGAAGAGGGGACACCGGCGCGGGCACACGCTCGCTGAGATGCGGGCGTCCCAACTCTTTTCGCACCGGGCATTTTCGCCCGGTGTCGGGGCCCAGGGCCATTATAGATCCGGCTGTCATACGTGACGCAGGAAGATGGAGTCTAGGGCTCCAGTAATAATTTTTCGCGATCTTGTCATTCTTCTGAGGGCAGGGGAAGCCACCCGAAGAATGAGGACCCCGGCGAGCAAAGCCTTTTGGCAAGCGCACTCAGAGAAGGGATCGAAGAGCGCAGCCCAGGGCCGTCCAGTAAACGCCAGTTGTGGGTGTCGGGGTGGCGTTTCCTCCCTGGAGTTTTCGCAGCCTCGAACTTCATGGAACTCGCGGCTGCCCGCACGGATTTCTCATTGGAGCAGGGGCCCCCCTCTCGCTGGGCGCGCCGGAGGCGCGCCAGCGGGCGTGCCGCGGAGCGCGCCGCTCAGGGGGGGCCCTGATGCCGATTCGGGAAGTCCGCGCGGGCCTCCGCGAGCATGTTGAGTATCGTTGAATCGACCCCCACCCCCAACAGCATGGCCTTGGCCCTGCTGACCGACTTACCCTCCTAGATGGGGATGTATGCTGCTCCCTTTGTTGTTTCGCGGGGGCTATCCCAACCTGGATGGGGTGGGTGGGAAGGTGGGGCTGAGATGCCATGAGGGCCGGGTGGGGAAGGATATGCGTATGTTAGACGATGCGGACATTTACATGCGTGGCCCCATTGGTCCACACCTCTTCCCTGGGGGTGCTTTTTCGCCCCATCTAGATGTTTGATGGTCCCGGGGCACGGAAAAGGGCCAAAGAGGACGAAATGTACGAAAAACGTCCGCATTGAACAAATCATAGTAAGGGGCCCGAGCGGTCATTCACTGTCCCTGGCTGCGTGGCTGAAGTAGGGTTCCGCGGAGCGGATTGCTGTTTAATTACTCTTTCAAGGAATAATTATTGTTGATGTCCCCCCCAGTAACCATTATATGTTTTCAATCGCGTGCTCCTGTCAGTGCTCGCACCCTGTTTTGTTCAAGGGAAAATGTGGTGTCGCCAAACTGCGCCCTTGGCCACCGACTTACAACAACAACGGTTCCCGGCCGACATTTCTTCACAACTTATTTCAAGCGCGCGCTCTCGGGCGGGACTTCCTCATACTTTATGCAGAAATCGCGCTCTTGTGTGGGACTCCCTCGCAACTTATTCAGACGCCGCGCCCTCGACACTAAGGAATCACGCTCTGGCTTTGGCCTTTCTCACGATTTACTTGGGAATGGCGCTATCGCTCACGACATCCGCGTGATTCATGCTCCCGCTTCAACAGCCCGCCTGCTCGACCTGGCCGCCTGGGCCCGCCGTCCCGACGCGCTTATCAGGGTTTACCAGCCCGATCTGCCCGTCTGGTTCTGCCACGTGTTTTCTGGTCCTAACCTCCCTCCTGCTAATCTCTCTGGTGCTCCATCCTTCTCGCTCCCCCCTCCATCCGTCCTCTGTTCCCCTGTTTTAAGGGGCTGCGCCAACTATGCGCGGCAGGTTAGGAAGATGTACCCCCATTCGCGGGTACCGAGGGTCTGGGATATACGTGTTGAGTGGCATGCGAGCAAGTAAGAGCACCCTCGACACTCAGGAATCACGCTTTGGCTTTTGGATTTCTCACGATTCATTCGGGAACCGCACTATCGCTCAAGCTCTCCTCGTGATTCAAGCAGAACTCCCGCTTCAACAACACGCCTTCTCGACCTGGTCGCTTCGGCCCGCCTTTCCGACCCGCCCGTCAGGATCCGCCCGCCTGATCTGCCCGTCTGGTTCTACCGTATTGTTTCTGTTCCTAGCCCGCCTCCTGCGAGTCCCGTGATCCATCCTTCTCCCTCCCCCTTCCATCCGTCCTCTTTTCCCCTGTTTCAGGGGCTGCAGCAATTCCACTCTGAAGGTAAAAGAAATTTGCCCCCAAGAGGGTACGGTCGAAGACGGCAAATGCGGGTACCGAGGGTTTGGGATATACCTGTTGAGTGGAACGCGAGCGGGTAAGAGCGAGCAATCTTAACATTCTTGTTGTGGTTGTTGTTCTTGTACTCTCATGGCTGAACAATAATTGTTGATCGCCCCCACCAGGGCACATTGAATTCTTTCAAATGAAATGCCCCTTCCCGGGGCTCGCACTCGGCTTTTTAACAAGGAGCGTCTTGAGCTTCAAACTGCGCCCCTGGCCCCCGAGTTGCAACAACAACGGCTCACGCCTGATATTCGTCGCAATGTATTCCCAAATCGCGCTTTCGCGCGGGACTTCCTTGCAATGTATGCAGAAATCGCGCTTTCGCGTGGGACTTCCTCGCAATCTACTCAGACGCCGCGACTTCGACACTCAGGAATCATGCTCTCGCTTTGGCTTGTTCCACGATTTACTTGGGAGTCGCGCTGTCGCTGGTCATTTCCTCGCGATTCATGCAGGACGTACGCTTCAGCAACTCGCCTGCTCGACCTGGCCGCCAGAACCCGCCGTCCCGACTCGCCTGTTAGGGTCTACCGGTCTACCCACCCGATCTACCCGTTTGGTTTTGCCACGTGTTTTCTGCAACTAGCCCCCTTCCTGCTACTCGTCTCTCTCGTCCTCCCTCCTCCTTCCTCCCCCTTTCTCCCTTTCTCCCATTCGTCCTCTCTTCCCCTGCTGTAGGGCTGCATGAAGTACACGCTGCAAGTAAGAAAAACATATACCCCCAAGGGGGCACGATCGAAGACGAAGAAGGCGGGTATCGAGGATTTGAGAGTTCCTCGCGATTCATGCATGACGCACGCTTCAACAACCCGCTTGCCCGCCTGGGCCCGCCTTTCCGACCCGCCCGTGATACCCGCCCGATTTGGCCGCCTGGTACTGGCACGTGTTTTCTGCACCTAGCCCCTCCCCTCTCCTGCTACTCTCTCTCCCAGTCCACAGAGGCCCCAAGCGCGCCCACAGAGGCCCTAGCGCGCTGACCACTGAGGCCTCCGACGCAGCCCAGAGAGGCCCCAGCCCACTGAGGCCCTCAGCGTGCCCACGGAGGCCCCCGCGCGCTGCCCAGTGAGGCCCCAAGCGCGCTGCCCACTGAGGCCCCACGCGCGCCCACGGAGGCCCCTGCCCACAGAGGCGCCAAGCGCGCCCACGGATGCCCCCGCGCGCTGCCAACTGAGGCCCCTCAACACAGCCCGCAGAGGCCCCAAGCGCACCCACAGAGGCCCCAGCCCACAGAGGCCCCAGCGCGCGCCCACAGAGGCCCCGGCGCGCTGCCCACTGAGGCCCCCGACATAGCATAGAGAGGCCCCGGCCCACAGAGGCCCTAAGCGTGCCCATGGGGCCCCCGGCGCGCTGCCCACCGAGGAACCCCAGCAAAGCCCACAGAAGCCCCACGGGCGCCCACAGAGGTTCGCCCATAGAGGCCCCGAGCGCGCTGCCCACTGCTGTCCCCCAACACAGCCTACAGGGGCCCCATGCGCGCCCACAGAGGCCCCGGCCCACTGAGGCCCCAAGCGCGCCCACAGAGGCTCCGGCGCGCTGGCCACTGAGGCCCCCGACGCAGCCCAGAGAGGCCCCAGCCCACTGAAGCCCTCAGCGTGCCCACGGAGGCCCCGGCGCGCTGCCCAGTGAGGCCCCCGACAAAACCTACAGAGGCCCCACGCGCGCCCACAGAGGCCCCAGCCCACAGAGCCCAGCGCGCTGCCCACTGAGGCCCTCCGACACAGCCCACAGACCCAAGCGCGCCCACAGAGGCCCCAGCCCGCAGAGGCCACAAGCGCGCTTACAGAAGCCCCAAGCGCGCTGCCCACTGAGGCCCCCGACGCAGATCACAGAGGCCCCTGCCCACAGAGGCTCTAAGCGCGCCCACAGAGGCCCCAGCGCGCTGCCCACTGAGGCCCCTGACACAGCCCACAGAGGCCCCAAAGGCGCCCACAGAGGCTCCAAACGCGCGCACAGGGGTCCTGGCGCGCTGTCCACTGAGGCCCCGACGCACAGCCTACTGAGGCCCAGAGTAAGCCCACGGGGACCGTAACACGCTGCCCGCAGGCCCTCCCGCACAGCCCACAGAGGCGCCAAGCGCGTTGCCCACTGAGGCCCGCCAACACAGCCCATAGAGGCCCCAAGCGCGCCCGCAGAGGGGCCCCAGCACACAGAGGCCCCAAACGCGCCCACAGAGGCCCCAGCGCACTGCCCACCGAGCGAGGCACCAGCCCGCAGAGGCCCCTAGCG